TGAAATATTAAGCTAGTATTTAAAATAAGGTTAATATACCCATATGTCCTTATATAATATTCAAAGTCTCTTATTTGTTTCTTGATTTTCAATTGCATTCTATCCGTATATAAAAATTTTTAAAATATTTAATCCGCATTCAATCAAATTTTTTTACTATGAATTTTTTTAATTGAAATGCACTTTAATAAATAAATAAATAAATAATAACATTTAAAGTCATGTGACCTACATGTTACATTTTTAGAGTCTTTAAATTATTTTTTTTAGCATTTCAATTAGAGGCATTTGGTCAAAAAAATTTATTTGATCGAAAAAATTAATCGAATGATAGATTGAACATTTTAAACACTTTTGAGAACAAATGAGATGCAATTAAAAAGCTAAAAACATACAAGAGAATGTAAATATTATATAAAAACAAATGACTATATGTTATCCTTTAAAATATAATAATTATAAATGCTTATTAGTTCGTATCACTTATAAACGATTTTTTTAAAACTTATGTAACACCCTCGACCTAGGACCTAATAGGTTGAGAATATTACTCGCCATTGATCTACATTCAAAATGCAATGAATGCAAGTCAACAAGGTACTATGTCTTTTATATAAACTTCTAGTTATGGAATTAATACAAAAGCCTAATCATGACGGACAAGTCCTAGATTTCAATCCAAAATGCACCACAAATTTTGTGTTTCATTATTCTATTTAGGTTACTTGAACCGAATGGACTCGGATCTATGATACACGATTTTCTCAAATTCTTTTTCTATTAGTTTGTATAAATTTATTTAATTATTATCCATTATTCAATAGTTAATTCCTTTTATTCTCATTAATTACTATTTATTATGATTAATTTGTTATCTCTTTTGTTCTCTTATTATATTATTAATGCCGGCATGTAAGGAAATAACTTAAAGAAACCATAGTGACTATGGCTACGCTACTACCATTTTACTACCGATATTTCAATTGATATACAGATTGTCTTTAATTTACACATCCTAGTTTCATGTCATCTCGCTATAAAAATGACTTATTTAGTACATCCACTTTCTTTTTTAACTAACTACTCATTTCTCCATTGCCTTGACTATCATGTAAAAGAAAGCTTAATACCCATAAAATAAACTAAAATACCCGAGTACTAATATATCGATCGTATGGAGAAGGTCCAACTTATAGCCACAACCAAGATATACACGACGCATTGTCTCCTCGGTAGTCAACTCAAATGTAAACATTGTCATCTTTACCTTTCTTTCCTACACTACAAGAAACTAAATGAGCGACAACTTAGTAAGTTAATCCATGCATAACGTGAATGTATGCACATGAAAAATCATTTTCATGTCTTTTTAAAAACCCTTTTCATGCCATAAAATCCTTTTTATGATCAATCCGAAAAATCTTTTTGTCTTTTGACATGTTCCGTTTCGAACTTCGTGGTTTTCACTTATGTTGGAAAACCGGACCAATCTGCGAACACGCATCCTATCGAGCTTTGGGAATGCACGTCCGCATCCCTCTCGACCCTATGAACCATGAATCATGAACCATTTAAGTCATGAAACCCGTGAAGCCCGTTCTTAAAAACATGAAAACCATTACCATGAAAGTCATGAAAACCTTGTAACCATGAAATATTTTTCAATTGCTATTGGAAAACCCTTAAAAGAAATTCCTCTTTTTTCATGACTTTAAACCTTTTCCATAAAATCCTTTTCATGAATTGGCATGCATATGCATTTTTAATATAATTGCATAACCCTTAAGGATTCATGTAATGCATGCCATATGTAATGTATATTTATGCCATGATCATGCATGCTTTAACTATATAAATGCACCATAATCATTACCTTGTCAAACATAATCAATCAATTGACATTCACATGTCAATCACATAACCATCACCATAAAATACCATAAGAAGTCACATTTCACATTACGATTCAATAACGGTATTTTTATGGTACATGCATAAATATTATAAAACCATCCATAACATGCTTAAACATACCAAAGTCATCACATTTCACATTTTGGGCACAAAAATCACACCAATTCCATCATAGCAACATCAATTACATAATTAAACAACCAATTGTATCAAGAACCTTAAATTGAGCCTAATGGGGTCAAAACCCTAATTAAGGTAATCTAAGTTAATTATCCAATTTTAATAAAATTTCTTACTCTTATTCATCAATTCATACTTAATTAACTTCAATTTAACCAATAATTCATCAATTAAGCAAGGGAATCAAAACTCTAATTTTTCAAGTTTTGGGTCGAATGGCTTCATAAGGAAATCAAGGGAAATTCTTCATTTTTAATGCAATTTTTCATAATCAATCATTAATTCATACCTAATTAACATAAAATTAAGTGATAAAACATCAAACAAACCAAAGCATAAAAAACCCTAAAATTCCCCATTTTGGTCGAATGCTTTCTCTCTCCTAACCTTAGGAATTTTTAATTTTTCTTCATCAATTTTAAGCCTAATTAATATGTTTCAACATCAATTGCATGAAATTCCAACTCAAAATGATTTTTTCCAAATTATACTCACCAAGAACCCTAACCTTAATTTTCAAAATAAATTCAATTAAATATAAAATTAGGGTTCTAAAGCAATAATTAACATCAATTAAAGTTTTCTTGTGATGTATGTGAGATTATCTTACCTAAATAAGCTCTAAATTACCTTTGAAAGGTTGGATTATTTGGAAAATTCTTCTTCTCTTTTTATGCTCCAATTTAGGCCCAAACTCAAAATTTTCCTCTTTATGATTATTGATCTTCTAGCTTGAATTCCTTTCTTAATTAGTTGATTTAGGGTGTTTGGAAGTGTTTAGGTGAAAATTTGAGTGGAGTTCTAAGAAAAATTTGCAAGAGTTTCCCCTAATTTTCCAACATTTTTTCCATAATTCCTACCACCCATATTTATAAGCAAATTAGGTGGATTTTTTCCTTTGTTTGACTCCATCACAACCCTTCATTTGGTTTAATCTTGGCCCTTAATTTTTTTTTTTTAATCCTAACCTTTCAATTGATTTCATTCTAATCATCCATTTAGTCTTTAAATTTTATTCTTCTATCTAACCACTCTCTTTAAATCTAATCCTTCCATTGGTGCATCCATTAATTACACCCAAATAATTAGGTTGAAAGTGTCAGCAGAAAAATCTCTCCCAAAAGTTGCTTAATTTTGGTCCTTAAAGTTGTTATTTTTTCCTTAATTACTCCTTCATAAGTTTCTCAATTATTCAATTAATCACTTTAGGTCCCTCCTTTAAAGGTTTTTTAACAACTTTTGAATTCCTAAAGTTCACCCCTAATTTAATTTGGAAGTTCAAACTTTTAATTTTATGCAATTAGGTCCTTAATTTCATGCAATTAGGTCCCTAATTATCTAATTTTATTCCATACCCTTCCAAAATCTAATTTCTTTTCATAATAAATTCAAACATCTCCTAAAAGAATTTAATCATTATTCACATAATTTTTATACATTTATTTAGGCCTTCAAATTAATTATTTTGTGTAAAAATACACTTTTTTCTTTAGAAACTATTCCCTATACATAGAAAAATTTATTTAAGTTCATGGAATATTCCTACACATCCTAGATGATTTTTTTTATGTACATTGGACAATTGTCTTATATCTTTAAAGCACTTAAATTAATTAAATTACCTCAAAACACTATTTATTTACAATAAAATTCACATAAAATAATTACGTAACATCGGAAAATTCATCCAAGTGTCATCTAATAATCTAACACCCCTCTATCACATATTCTATGCAAACAAGATATTTTTCATACATATTTAACATGCTTAAAATAATTATTTCACATAAAAAGTCCATATCCATGCATCAAAAAATCAACAAAATATTTACCGAGCATAGAAAAATAATCCTAAGCATACTGAATATTCTAGCAACCTTATAATAATTATTCCATGCCCATTAAATATTTTTTTCTCATACTTTTCATATATTTTTAGTTTATTTAGTAATGGCTGGGAGTATTACAACTTAAATGCTATTTTTTAATGTAATTAAAAACTTTTTTTATTGAAATTGTAGTACATAACTTTCATAATTATGGAGCAATTAACTAAATTACGAAAACATAAAATTATGTTTTACTTTTAATTTAGTGAATCCATTTAACAATTTATAATCACTTATTTGTTACAAAATAACTATTATTTATTTTTCTTTTAAAAATAACAATATAGTTTTCGAATCCTAATCCTAAAACAATACTTGTGACTAATAAATTTATGAGATAATTAGTTAAGTCAGGTGGTGGTCTCTGATAAGATATTATTATTACCGTAAAATAAATAAAAATATTTTAATAGTCTGTAACTTGGGTACTGTAATTATAGCATTTTAAAGTAACCATAACAAGTCTCCATAGCAGAGAAACAACATCCCTAATAATAACAATAACCATCTCTATCGAAGTTCCTGTCTTTTTTTAACTTGTTTTCTTTATACATTTTATTTTATATTACTTCACTAGGGTTTCAAAAATTAGATTCGATCGTATCGTGTTCCTTTCTCGATCTTAACCCCCTCTCAACATTTCTTCTTTTTGGAATTTTATTGCTATTCATTTCCATAACTCTCTAGGGTTTCTATTAATCTTCCCCAATTTCTACTCCCATTGTGCATAGATTTCAAAATCCTCAATTCGAAGCTTCTTTAGAGCTTCAATTTTGGTGAGTCTGTTCTCTTTAATTTGAACAATTGATTTTTTTTTTTTTTTGTACAATTGAGTTTGTTTAGGTAAGTACTCAACTGGGTTGTTGCTAATTTTGTGATGTAATTTGTTTTTGCTTTGCAGTGAATAAATTCAAGTTGCAAAAGTTAGAAATTTTGTTTGTTTCATGTTTTTTTTTTTTTTTTTTTGTGAATTTTAACTTTTATTGAATTGGGTTGGGATTATTGTGTGCTTTGAGCATGGAATCTACGATAGAAGCTGGTGGTGGAGTTACTGGTACTGTGTTAATGAGGTTTGTTTGGACTCATGGAGGTCGAAATGTATTTCTCAGTGGTTCTTTTAATAGGTGATGATACTCATTTTTAAATTTTGTTTTGCCTGAGGTTAATTGTATTAGGAGCAACCCAATTTCCTTGATAGTGTACTGATTGATGGGTTATCCTTTTTGGTTTTTGTGAAGATGGGGTGAGCTTATACCTATGTCACCAGTCGAAGGTTGCCCTAATGTATTTCAGGCTATTTATGGTATTACACCCGGTAATCATCAGGTAGGTTGGTTTTGTTGGGGTTTTGATTAATTTGAATTGTTGTACATGTAATTCAATTTAATCTATTTTGAAGAATAGCTTAGTAGTAATTGTTGTAGGATGCCCTAGTGATCAAAGAGATCATACTTGTGACATGCTTCTTGAGTTTACTACACACAGTGTGAGAGTGCTAAAAAAAAGAAGAAAGAACAAGTCCTGGATAGCACATAACTTCATATGACTGTCATTAGCAATGAACTCCTCTTGAACACTACTTATACAGGAGGTATTTCCTGTATACAATAACTATCATTAGCTTATTCTGTGATGTAAAGGTCTCTTTTTCAAAGTACGCATGCAGCATTTAATCAGTACTTTATGCTATGTGGTTGAAGTACTCTGGAATCGTTTGGATTCAAGTGATCTCAGAAAGATTAAAACTTGACTAGAAATGCTATTGTGAATATTTTTGTGTCCTCGAATGGTTCTATGTCTGTACTGATACATATGGATATTGGACTTCATGCATTGGATATTTACATGCAGTACAAGTTTTTAGTTGATGGAGAATGGCGACATGATGAACTCCAACCTTACTCAACAACCGAATATGGGATACTGAACACTGTCCAGTTTAACATGGAAGCCAATTTTAACCCAGAGATGATTCCAGGATCTAGTATGGAATTGGATAATGAGGCTTTTACCCGTATGGTGAGATACATTCTACTTCTGTAATAGACATCATGACTGCTGGAAATTGTTTTCTGTTTCATTAATGTTATTTTGGTCATTCAGAAATTAAGATTCCTTCTAACTAACGGCCAATTATATGCATTCTAAAGATCATGGATCTGGGTCTTTCTGTTCTACCATTTGAAAAATTTGAGTGTCTTCATATGAAAACTTTTTTTTTTTTGTTTTAGTTGCTTATATTTACTTTGCTGTCTTACCTCGTTTCAACTTACTGTTACGATATTCTAGTTTTCACCAATATTTTGCCCTTTTACAAGTTATGGAATGGGGTTTCATTTGCAATGCAGGTCAGCGTATCAGATGGTACATTGACTGGCGGTGTGCCGAGCATATCAGAGGCTGACTTACAGGTCTCTCGTCACCGTATTTCTGTATTTTTGACTACACACACTGCATATGAACTACTTCCCCAGTCAGGCAAGGTTTGGAAACTTTACCAATGGTCTTCATTGTGGCACTCATATTTTTGGCTGTTTATTTGGATTTGATTTTGGCAAATTTATATTCTCCTAATCTAGAATGTGCAACTTACAGGTAGTTGCCTTGGATGTTGATTTACCGGTAAAGCAAGCCTTTCATATTTTGTTCGAGCAGGTATATTTTTGTTTGCGTTTACTTGTTACTGCTATTTTGGACCAAGCTTAGCTGAACTTCTGGTTACATTTCTTTTTTTTTTTTTATGCAACATGTATAAGATTCTATATAGATGATTGGAAAAAAACCATATTCTTTGCTTTTTCGTGAATCTCTTGTGCGATTTTTGGAGAAGAGTTAAGTATCTGTTTAAACCAATCTTAAACTCTTAGGATTTGCATTAAAAATGCTGTTCCTTTGTTGCAAGTGCAATAATGTTACATGACTAAGTGTTGGAAGTAGGGGTGGGCACTATTCGGTTAAAACTGAAAAACCGAACCGAATTCACAATTTCGGTTCCGGTTTCCATCAAAAACCGAATTATTATTATTTTTTTTAAACACATACCCAAGCTCCTTTTTTTTATATATAAATAAAAGAGACACCAATGGGTTTAACTAAAAGAACAATAGCTTTAATGATTTTTTTCTACTTAAAATAAAAATATTTTTCATTAATTATTTATTGAAATAATAAAATAATTGATTATATTATATTGACTCACAAACAAATAAAAAAAAGAATGTGATAAAGTAATTTTTTATAAATACACTTATGTGTGAGTGAATCCTAAAACCTTATGGAAAAAATTGTCTCCTTGTATTAAAATTGGCCCAAAAATATACTTTAAAAAACTTGACCCAAAGCCGTTGTATTTATAATAGTACTATAGTAGTATTAATAACAGTTAATAATAATAATTTTTTCACTCTTTTTATGCTTATACTAAACATAAATTAAAAATTGAATTTTTCATATTATCTATTCAACAATAAAATATTCATAAAATAAGTAGATTAAAAAGAATATAGAAAATTAACAAAAAACCAATTGTAGTGTGATTGAAAAAATAATGAGAAGCCCAACTAATTTAGTTTATAATATAAATATAAACAAATTTACTATAGAAAAATAATAATAATCTTACACAATTTTCTTATAAAATCAATTGTGAAATATGCAATCTTTGATTATGCAAGTTTGATATTTTTTAAAAGCAAAATAATTTGGTTTTTAGAAGAAAAATGCAAAAATAAATAAATAAATAAAAATTTTGGTTTTTAACCGAAAACAGAAAAACCAAACCAAAAAATTTGGTTTTTTAACCAAAATACCGAACCTCAATTCGGTTTGGCTTCGATTTTGTGATTTAGCCAATTCGGTTAACCGAAAACTAAAAAAAAAAAACACCGAAACCGAACTGAAAAACCAAATGATCACCCTTAGTTGGAAGGCATAACTGGCATGTTTTAGCTGTTGCTTTCATGATTCAGTCCATTATGTAATTTTACCTTTTGGGCCTAATTGACACCATCATTTTAACTTTTGAACCGGGCTTGTAATTTTCTTCTTGGTAGTTCCTTCACTTGTTTTGTTAGGATATCTAACTAGATCATCATAGAATTACTCGGATGCATGAGTAGATCAATAAGGCTTTAACTATACCACACCTTCCATGCTTACTTCACCACCCACAGTTCTCTGTCCATTATCATAGATATATATTTCCCTTGCATGTGGAAGTTGCTGTCTTCTATGACATTTCTCAAGGGATTTATCAACCTGAAATAACAACAACCAAAACTGAGTTTCTTTCATGTTCTCCTTGTCAAGCGGAAAGGCAGCCATTTCTGATATTACACCCAGCTTGCCGCTTCAAAATATCAACCCCTGTGGTCAGCTTATGGTTCCTCCTCTATATTTTTCTATTTAACCCTTCTCAGTAAGATATTGAGCATTGGAGCAGGAAAAAGGCATAGCCTACTCAGCCAATAACAACAGTCAACAGGGTGACAAAGTTTAGAATGAAAAGTAAATGTGGCTGTGATTACTTCAGTTGAAGGTGTTAGTTTCATACCTACGGTGTTTGCAATGTGATGCCTTTTCCAATCTAAAAGGAGAAGGAAATAGGAAGTTATGCTGCATGTGTGCTAAAGTAAATAGTCAGTTTCAAGCTGGCTTAAGTCCTGACAACAGGCTTAGTCAGTTCCATTATTTGAGCTTTGCCTGATTATTATTTGCAATCGTTGGTTGTCATGCATATTTGCTTGTTGGTGATTAAGAGCTTGGATATTATGCTTTCTAAGTTAGCTGTTTCCAGGGAATCCCTGTTGCTCCTCTTTGGGACTTCTGTAGGGGCCAATTTGTTGGGGTGCTTAGTGCATTGGACTTCATATTGATATTGAGAGAGGTATGTGCATGTAAATCAAGTCTTCTTTCAACAGTGAATCTTCCAAATGCAAACATTTATTTGTCCATTGATTTTTTTGCCCAAATTTTATACGCACTGGTGATGGATTAAGATAAAAGATGCAACAACACAAGGTTTATTTTCCTTTAAGGGTAAAAGTAAATAAATTTTTATCCAGACTAGTATTCCATGTGGTATGATATCCATTTATTTTTTTGAAGCTTGACCCCAAATGTTTAGAGATAGGTTTTGATTTGGGGACAAGAACCCAAATGTAATTGATGGCTTTTGGGATATTCATGGCTATTGGGAGAAACTTACATGCTTTCTATTGCAGGCGATAAGCTTGAATAATTTGTGGGAATAGTACCGTTCTTGAAAAGTCTTTGTTGGCAGAAATATATTGTTTGTATGTTTCTATAATGCTGTGTACTTTTATTTGCAGCTCGGAAATAATGGATCAAATTTGACAGAGGAAGAACTTGATACACACACTATATCTGCTTGGAAAGAGGGAAAAGCATATCTGAATAGGCAAATAGAAGGACATGTGCGGGCTTTACCTAGACATCTCATCCATGTAAGTGATCTCTTGGGCATGTTTGTATCTGTAGCACGTAATTGAACCACTAACTTGTTTGTCACCATTTGTGCATCAAGTGGAGTGTAATTATTCTCAGTGCTTCATTTTTTTAGTTTGCATTATGTGCTGCACTGCTTATAGAAAACATTTAAATGGATTTATCTTGATTTCCTATATACGTAGAAAAAATGTTTGATGTGGCTCTTGTCCATTGATCTGGATTTTGGCTAAGGTGCAGGCTGGGCCATATGATAGCTTGAAAGAGGTTGCTTTGAGAATATTGCAGAATGAGGTGGCTACAGTTCCTGTTATTCATTCATCATCAGAAGACGGTTCATTTCCTCAGCTACTGCATCTGGCCTCGCTTTCTGGAATACTTAAATGTAAGGCTTTTCCGTTAGCTTGCTAAGTAGCTACACATAGTTTACTACTAACCATGGGATGTTAATTTCCAGGTATTTGCAGGTACTTTAGACATTGTTCTGGCACCTTACCCATACTCCAACTGCCGATTGGTGCAATACCAGTAGGTTCATGGGTTCCAAGTATTGGAGACCCTAGTGGGCGTCCCTTGGCAATCTTGAGACCAAGCGCTTCTCTTAGTTCAGCTTTAAACTTGTTAATTCAAGGTATGTTTGTGATTTCTGTAAATTGCAGAAAGACGAAAAAGAAATTATATACAGAAAATAATGTGTGTTTTGGAAGTAGAAGTTCTAATTTTTAACGGCAAATATTTCTAGCAAACTACTTAAATTTGCTTTATGTGTATTACACTAAAAGTTACATGGAACTTTCAAATCTTGGATGAGGGGCATGATTTCCATTTGAAAAATTTCTTGAATTGCCAAAAATTGAATTAAAATTGATGAGGATCTTTTATCAACTAATAAATTATTCATTTTTTGTCTCCAATTTTATGATTCACCTGAACCTCCCTCTTCCTTTTGCATCTGATGGCGGACCCTGTGATTGGGTATATCTCCCTCTTAAACCACCTATCATTTTCCTTTTTGATTGTTCTAACCTCTTATCATTGGTGTGCCTAAATTTGATTCTATGTTTCTGGTATGATCCTAGAGATTTCACTGGCTAAGGTAGTTGTTAGGTGGGGGATAGTTTAATCATTTGAACCAAATACATCGTTGCCTTTTGGGATAGTTTTCTATTGTCTCGACTACACAAGAACTTCAGCTATGCATCTTGAATCTTCATGTAATTTTAATTCTGGTATTTTCTTATTACCTTCTGCACTTGCAGCTCAAGTAAGTTCAATACCAATAGTTGATGAGAATGACTCTTTAGTAGATATATATTGTCGGAGGTAACTTGTTCTTCTGGGTTTGATATTCTTATCTTTTGCAACTCTTCTTCGATTTGGAGGCTAATTATGTATCATCATTTTTTACAGTGACATAACAGCTTTGGCAAAGGACAAAATTTATACTCATATTAATCTTAATGAAATGACTATTAATGAGGTAGCTGCTCTCTCTGTGTCCCCAGCCCTTCATTTTCCCTTGAACATGTTTTATTAAGCTATTTCATTTTACCTGTTAACTGGAAACTAATGGCTTTGGTTTGTAGATATTTTTAACGGGCCAAGCATGAATGTCTTGATTTTTAATCATTATTTATATTTCATAATTATGGTAACTTTGCTTCATTGTGGACGAAGAGGATATTAGTTCTGTTGTTGTAGGAATATTTGCTACAAGATTGAAGGTTTGTTGAGATTTAAAAGAATAGCTGAAAATGGATGTAATGATGATAGTATAAATTCTATAATTTTCATTGTAGTTGTGTTTGGTGCGGAATTGGCTTGTGGTGTTATGGTCTTGAAGGTTACCTCTGGATGATATTTGTTGCACTTGGACCAAATGAATCTTTTCACTTCTCAAACATCACATCAAAGTGTTAATTGCATGCTTTGCCAGGCTACATAAATTTATTTGAAGTGTTTGGCCTTGTTTAGTATATATGTTGCCCCATTGTATCAAAATGTAGTTTATAATTTAAAAATCATGCTTGACATTTACTGATCATGGTTTTTCCCTCGCAACTTCTATTTATTTCCAATTGATTAGGCTTTGCACCTGGGACAAGATGCCTATTCTTCTTTTGAGCTGAGAAGTCAGAGATGTCAGATGTGTTTGCGCTCTGATACATTGCATAAAGTGATGGAGCGATTGGCAAACCCAGGTAATCTGAAGTTCTCTCTTATTGAGAATGAAGCTCCTGCTAAATATCTTTCAATATGACTTTTTGGAGTGCCTGAGTATGTCAATTAGGTTGGAAATGTGTTTTTTTTTTTTTTTTTTTAAGCATGTTAGGCATTAAGATTTAGTCCTTTTGATTTTACTTTCCCAGTAATCACTCAAACTGCAGTTCCTCTCCTTTGTATTTGCTTCTTCAAGCAGCCTGAGCTGCTATCCTTCAACTTTTGTTGAATAATTTATTTGCACTGTTATGGTGCTTGAAGGACTTTTAAAGATCCAACAAAGGCTTTGCCCAAAAAAAAAAAAAAAAACACACTTTGGTTACAAACGGCCCAGTTAAATATTGGGATTAAAACTTTTGCTGAAATGAGGTCTCTATTATTTTTGTTGTTTTCATACAACTTTTGCATAAACTCTTTTTATTTTTTCTGAAAAAATCACGTGAACCTAGTTAATGGTCCTCAATCCCTGGGTTTTCAGGCGTTAGGCGTCTTGTCATTGTGGAGGCTGGCAGTAAACGTGTGGAAGGCATTGTTACACTGGGTGACATTTTCAGATTTCTACTTGGCTAGTTCAAAGCTATGAGGTATTCATGGAAAGGGATGTATGGAGTGGTTTTGGACAACCTCCATGCATGTTATTGGCTTATTGCAGCACCTACGTTGTTATTCCAGCACTTTCCATGGTCATATGACCCAATTATTTGAAATCTACGTTGGATTATTTGAAATCTCCGGCCTCTTTGCTTCGCTGCCTGTTTTAGAGTTTTAGGCTAAAAAGAAAGGGAGAGGCATGCAATTTGAGAGTTTGATTCTCTCATAATTCCCAAATTTGTTGATTTCCTCCCTTCCATGTATTATGAATTACTTCGAGCTGTCATTGTAGATTCCATGTATATGGGGAGCATGGTACCTGTTATGTGTCATGCTGCCACTAACTGGGAAAGGAGATGGAGAGGAGGTAAATGCTTATTGTTTGCTATTGCTTCATTGAGCCGTGATTCCTCAGGACAATCTGATAAAGATGGCTTTTGGTTCATTTTGTTTCCTTATTGTAGTTTAATACTTGCACAAGAAAATTTATGCAAGTTAAATGGCATTGTTGTACATGAGTCACTGAATGAGAATGGCCTTGCAATGTCATCCTAGAAAATTTGATAATTTTGGTTTTTTGTTCTCTGTTTCATTTTTCTTTTCTTTTCTTTTTTTTTTTTTTTTTGGTTGGTTTTGTACAAGAAAAATAAATTGTGTCAAGTTCAATGGCATGAGCAGCAAATGGGAAGCCCCTCACGAAATGAATGATTCGGTTATTATAAATAGAAACATTTTAATTGCTTGCAGGCTAACATGAATAATTCCGAATCATGATGCATTTTGAATTTGGTAATTCGAAGCTCTTGAACAGGATCAATCATCTTGTAATAGCACTCGACGATTATAAATGGGGTGGGTGGGACTAATTAAATAATAGGTAGACAAATCAATTATGACAGAGAGAGTTAATATTATGATTTGTAAAAATAATGGTCAATTAATTAAATAGAATAGATTTAAGTGTTAAAGAGTTGTGTGAGAGAGAGTAGGCAGTAAGCTTTAGATGTCGTCGTTCAGTATATGAGTAGGAGAGGTCATTCGGTATATGAGTAGGAGAGGTTTGAGAGAGAATTTAGATGTTTTTAATAAACATTATAAAGTTGGAAGTATTTCAAAATAACGTGAGATTGATATATATAATAATTTATTGATTATTTTTTACTTTAGGATTGTATTATGTTATTCATGTTTAGACGATCGGATTTGTATAAAAGAAAATTGAATTTTTTAAAACTAAATTGTTTTAACTTGTTAATAAAAGTTTTTAAAAAGTAACAATTGTGCCTTTTTAAGTAAATTCTATTCAAATCTATCAAGTCGATTTCCTTAATATATCCTAATGACAAGACATAGACATGGAGTCCGTTAGAATATTGGTGTCCATCTTCACAATCCAAAAACCTACGTAACGAGGTTCATCTTCAATCCAATTCATATGCGTGTAATTTAAACCAATATCAAAATTAAGAAAAATAACATGGATTAGTATATAATAAAATTACTTAATTAATTTTTATGGTGAAATTAAACATATATAATATGTATTTGATTGCTGCTTAAGAAACGGGACAAAACTAGCCTAGTCAATTTCTATGGTTCTATGATTACTTGAAAATATTATAATTATAATAATAGTGCATTTAAGTTACGGATATAAAATATATCATGTTCAAGAAGAAGAAGATATATCATAATTATTGAGTTTATTATTCAGTAATTTATCTAATTATCTCAAGTATAATTACAATTCAAAAGGTAACAATAAAAAATATCAAACTAAATGATTACAAATTGACATATTCATTTAAAATAACATAAAAAATATCAAAATTTGTTATAGTTTGGTTTATTACTTGGAGTACAATATAAATATAAATATAATTATTTTTTTATTACCGTAGATGAGAAAAAGGTCTTATTCGAGTAGTAAAGAAATTATTTTTGTTACGTGATTATGTATTGTATGATAATTGTTTTTTTTTACTACTAAAAAAAAACTAAACAAAAATATTAGTTTATTATTTATTAACACTATTCATTCAGACAAATATGTACTATTTTTTTCACTATATAATTGTATTTTTATATTTTTTAAAATTTTTTAAATGCATTTATTATGAAAGTTTTTATGACATTATGCTTTAGTTTTTTTTTTAAAACATTGTTTTTTGGTCACAATTTTTTGTTTTATTTTGTCCCTTTTTTTTTATTTTTGTCATTTTGGTCCTTATTTATTTTTATTTTAATTAAAAATTTTAAGGCAAAAAGATGTTTAAACAAAAATTTAAAATAATTTTTTAGCTAAAAAATTTAGATAGAGATAAATAAATAATATTTTTTAATAAAAAATTCATAAAAATATAAAAAATAATTAGTTAAATATAAAATTTTGATTAAAAAATTATAAAATTGAATAAATTTTTATTCATTCGATATATTTTAGTATACGTATAATATAATACAATATATTAAACTGTAATAATTTTTAAAAATAATTTTATGTGTTTTATTCGACTTGCATATTGATACGAGTAAATAAACTAATTGTTTCTAAATTTAAAGACAATATAATGGTAAGTAATTAACCGTATAACGGTATAAGTAGCATTGTAGATTGGGCTTCTTTTATACACAAAAGCAAACAACAGTTAGGCAGGGTAAGCCCAAGACATGATACTTGTCGACAATTAATGTCAAACTCAAATCTCATACCGTGCAAGAAACTTGAATAACTTCAAAAGAGGTTAGAGAAAACCAGAGAGAGGGAAAAAGAAAAAAGAAAATAAAAATGGAAGGACTAAGTGAAGATGAAAGAAAAGCACTAAGAGGAAGCAAATTCGCACCTCTCCCTCCTCCTCCTCCTCCTTCTCGTTCCCAACAACCCAGGTTTTTTTTTTCCTTTCTTGTTTATATTCTTTTATATGAATCTGTCTAGGGTTTTGTTTATTAATTTGCATATGTTCATGTATCGAGTACTATTAGGTTAGCTCATCCTGGTGGACCATTAAAGACTAATAAAGCTGCAGCCTTGGCTAAATTTCTTGAAAGAAAACTTCAAGACCCAAAAGGGTTGGCTTCTATTGATCCTGATATTCTTGAATTGGCTGTCAAGAATGCCAAAGACACTCTCTTGACGAGTAATAATTATTTCAAGACCCTTTTATTTTTTCTTTTTCTTTTAATTACTTTTGTTGTTTAGTTTTATAATTTTGAATGTGTGTTTTATTCAATGAGAAACAAAGTTTTCTTGATAATGAGAAACTTTTTTTTTTTTTTTTTTGATAATGACAAACAAAGTTGAGATTGGAAGTTTAGAATAATCGAGGTAGGCGGGAAACTACAAATAAGATCACAATATGGGTCGTTGTTGTTTCTATTGGATGCAACGAGAGAGAGTTGAAATTGGGTGAATTGAACTGTTTGTGGATTTCAATATGATATGAACTTGAGGAGTCAAATGCATTTTCATTGAGATCTTTAGTTTGCCAAACAATTCAATGATTGAAGGATTTGTTGCAGACGATTTTTTATATATAAAAAAGGATATTGATGTGCAGCAGCCATTTTATGCGGTGTAATGAAATAGTTGTGAATTGTTAGATTTTGATTTTGTTTTAAACTTATTTTTCCATATCAAAATCTTGGGTTTTAGCATGCTGCGATTGGAGTTTTTCTTGAACTTTTCAAAGATTGGTTAACTAGTTGTGCTTCTCTTATGAGATGTTCCTAAATAATGAAAATGAAAAATTTATGGTCCAGATGAAGTGTTAGTTTACAATTTTATTTTCATTAATTTTTCAGAGTACCTTACGATCTTAAATTCTGGTGGCCATATGGTTGAGTGGAGAAGCTTTCGTACAATTATTTTGCTAGTTATTCCATTTACAAATTTAATAAATAAATAAATAATAGAAGAAGAAAAAGTTGGGTATTTTGTTATTCCCTTATGGTAAAATCCTGAATTTTCACTCTGCTTCTTTTAGATACTTATGCTTATAACATTTGCTCTTGAAATACAGTTTAGTGGTCTGTTTTGCTTGTCTAATTGCACTTGAGATTTTATTTTCTAACAGAGACATTATTATATGGAATCATGGCATATTTTCTTTGATATGTCAGATGGCACTTCAAAGTCTGGAACAATTATTCATCATGTGACTGACTTTGGCAACTCCAAGGTGCTTGGATACAATATCTCCGTAATTGATCTTTTGAATGCTCCAAGTATGCTTTTGTTGATCACTTTCTAATTAGTTTGCGTATTTTGTAGGAGCCTTTTGAAGAAGACAAAGTGGAAAATTCTTCACTGAAGAAACAAAAGAAAAAGAAGAAGAAAAATAAAAAGCAGAAGGTTTGCCTTTGTTGGTTCTGATCATTCACAGTTTTAATCTTTGAGTTGCAACTCTTGATTGTTTAAAGTATTTCTCTTGCAGATGGTAGATGATAGTGAATGTGCAAATTTGAAAATACACAAAAAAAAAAAAAGTTGAATTGTGATAAGCACTGAGGATTAATACCTTAGTTGTTGGAAGAATTCAGGGATGCTCTGAGAACTACTCATCATGGCTGGTACATGTGTGATCAAATGACAAATTTTGTTGTGCGAAATTAGGATAAGTTGTTGATTTCATTGAATGTACAAGGGCTTGTTGCTACTATTTCTCTTCAGTAACAGTCCTTCACTCTGGAAAGATCTGTGACCAATTTTCACAGTGAAATTAGTATCCCTCTTTTTAGTTATATTCCTTTTTTCTTTTTTCTTTTTTAATTGATGTAAAACTTAATTTTTTGTACAATGAGTGGATCGATTTGGTAACTGTTTTTAAGTGTTGGACTTCGATGGTTTCCTTTCGAAGTAGAAAATGGTGAAATCTGGCTGAGGGATCTTATTTACTTTTTACTATATTTATAGCTGCTATAGACAAACTTTTAGTTTGGACTTCAAATTAGCTAAAGCTGACTAGCTCGTGTTTGTTTGCCAGTAAGGGCCACCATGATTTATTATATACGTGCCAAGTCCTAATTTCTCCCTTTTTTTGGCCCCCCGCCGTACTCGTATATGTTAAAGCTATTGTTGGCTTGTCGCTCCCCCTTTCTTGAATCATAAAAAGACCATCCTTCTCGGAGATATGGAGGATTGGGGGTTTGCACCTCTATTTGTTGAGTCTTCCTTGTTTCTTGTTCAAGGGTCAGTCGTGGACGTTAATCCCTTCCTCATGGTGAACGCTCGCACTCTTTTCATACGAAATTAAGAGACAGTCTCCACCTAGCGGAGACATGAAATTGACATTACAAGTTGCAAGAATCTCTCAATGGACTTCCCCATCTTTTTGTCGAATCTGATCTGGTTTCCGGACTTGGAGATCGATCAGCCCAACAGGGTTTGGCCCAATCTTTCTGTCGCAGTAGTAATATAAATGCTCCAAGCATCAGAAGAATATTACTTCTTTAACCCTCATCCAGAGACAGGGCAAACCTGCATGACCGTGCTGGTAGTTGTTCCTTCAGACATAGCTTGTAGACGTATTTATAAGACTGCCATTCAAAGGTGTGTCTAAACATGGTGCTTTCTGCTTATTAACCCTAAGTTTGCTAAGAAGTATATGAATCGCAGGACTAATATCTCAGAGGTTTATTTCATAATTAGTCTCTATACATTTCAATTTTTTTTTTTTATTGAGACTCTTTATTATTTATCAACTTAATTGAAACTTTTTACTCTTATAAATTTGTTGATTGAGATCATCCGTCAACTCGTAAATACGACGTGGCGCTCGTAAAAATAATGATAGCCAATCGGGAACTAACATGTAAAAATGTTGATCCCGGTTGTGAGACTATAATTCGAAAAAAAAAATTAAATTAACAAATTGTTAGTTTATAAAAATAAAAATACCCCCCAACATATTATTTTACACCTAACTATTATCTTTTTCATTTTTACATTGTATCAAAATCCCTAAACTCCCAACTTTTTTCTTCTTCTCCATTATTTTGGCAAAATCGCCCAAATGTCTCATTTTCTTTATAAATTCCAACTCTTCTCTTCTTTTCTATTGTTCGGCAATCTTAATTGCCTCGATTCTCTCACTTTCTTTGTTTCGAAATTCCTAATTTTCAACTCTTCTCTTCTTCTCCATTGTTCGGCAATCTCTAAATTCCTAACCCAACGAAATTATGGTTTTGTTGAATCCTTAAATCTCTAAATCCCAAATCCTTAATTTTTGAAATCCCTAAATTTAAAACTTCTTTCGTCTTTTGTAGTGTCTTTTCAATCTAAGAAGGCATGACCACTTCATCTTCATCATCTAAACGCTCGGATGTATAACAATTATCAATATGTGTACTTGGTGATCAAGAATCACAACCATGTCATGAAGAACCATAAATTGTATGCTTATGTGTGATGAAAATAGTGAAGGTATGAGTGATGAACACCTGTGTGTTAGATTTACTTGTTTGCCCACTGCGATTCAATGCAAAAGGAAAAGAAGATGTTGACTATAGTTTTAAAGTGTAGTTTGAGGATGATTTAGATTTTAAAGTCAAAGAGATTATTTTGGACTTGCAAAATTGGAAAAAAAAATACATATAATGAATTGCATGTTGGTTTCGGAGAATTTTGAGATTGAATGAGGTGATTTCTAAGTTAAAAAGTGAGAATTCGTACATCAAAAACGATAATGAAGAATTGTTGATTGAAATAGAGACTATCGAAGTTGAGAATAATGCTTACAATCAGAAAAAACAAGAAAAAAAAAAAGAATTGCTATTATTGGACATTGAAGATTAGAAGTTGATTTGTGGTGATTTAATGTTGCTTAAGAGTAGAATATGTCTTTTACTTCAAAATTTTTGGTATGATATTTGTCATTGTGGTTGTAATGCGATGGGTTTGAAATAAGTTTGAAAATAATTTTGGAACTTATTTTGTGAAATGTAAATTGAAGTCGTATTTAGACCGAAATGTTGTAACCTTGTTAACTTTTTCAATAATTTCGAAGCCGACATTGCACCCATACTTTGAACCTAACAAAAATGTTTTAATGCTTGTGTGACGAGTGTGTGCAAAGAAAATAAAAAAAGAGATCATTGGACCGATGTGGTTTTATTTGAATATCATTATGTCTTGTTATTTTGTTATTTGAGAGTAAGCATTAGGCAATCCTATACTTTGAATCCAGTAAAAAAAGTTGTAATGCATGTGTGATAGTATTAGAAAGATTTAGTAATAATATTAAGCATGCTTAGATATTTAACCATAAATTCCTTCCCTCGTGAAGAAAGAATGAGTTTTTCTTTCGAGGATACTAAGCATCCTAAGTTCTTTCTAGACCTCCAAAGAGGTTGTAGAAGAAGCAATAAGTGATATGATGGAATCAAATACCGAGGCAATTTTGGCATGCGGTAGTACTCGATCTCGTCGAACCCAACTTAGAAAGATTCATGAGCACACACGAGAACCCATACTAACTTAAATTAGTAACAAATCATAGGAATGGAAAAACAATCCCTAGGGTGAATTTTTAATAATCCCCGGAATAACATCATTATGTATTAGCATGAACAATACTAACATTAAAAAAGCAAATGACACCGATTATGTTGCTTGTTAAAGATTATAAACAAGCACAGATTATGCAAACAGAGACATTTTTAACAAACACATTGAACAAACGTCCTAATTTTCTTCACATATATTTTATCAAACATATTGCAATCATTTGCTTAAATATTAAAATCAAATTATTCTTCAAAGTTATTGAGACCAAAAAAATTATACAATATTCATTACATAAAACAAAATTCGCCTCAAAACAATAATTTTTTTTTAAACCACTTATATTTGTTTTGGAACCAATAAGCAGCACCACTTTGTTTTGCAATCCATGATCTTATGAATTTATTGACTTTGACGAGCATTCGATTTTGGTTTCTTCTTCTTTGGAACATTTATGATTGTTTTTGAGATATCGGGTGTTATATTTGGAGGAACTAGATTCGACTACAAAATATCCAACTCTAGTTAGAGGTTTTTTCTCTTGTTTGTTTGTTGCTATTGTCTTTTGCTTTGTTGCGGCAACCTTTTGCTTTGTTATAACATCATTAGGTTTCTCTTTGCCTTTATTACTCCTCAAAGTTGGACCACCACCATCATCAACTTTTTCTTTATTCATCTTGACAATGAACATCGTTTTTTTCCTCTTATAAGAAGATGCAACTCCAATTGTTAGTTTTTCCTTCCTCCGAATACAAAAATGATTTCACATAAGATTATAAATGTAAAAAAAACTTAAAAACAAACCAAATAATTTAAACCATCAAATAATGTTTACATGACAAGTTAAAACTGGTTCAACTATAATAAAATCGAATTGTGAAGCATCTTCAATAAGGTCATGTTCAACCACAATATCAGCTGGTCAAATAAGTGTCGATCCAAAACCAAAAGCACCATCAATATCCTATAAATATGATTTAATCAACTCTACTACAGTATATAAGATGGAAAAGACTTAAAAAAAACACAACAACTACATAAAAATATAAAATATTTATCTTTTTCTTCTTAAAATTATCGGGACATGTCAATTTGTTCTGTCATTTCTTGAAATAGATTTTACAAGTCATCATCCTTCCTCTTCTTAACATGTTAATTCCATTCAATGATTCCTATGATTCTCAAATTCTTTTCTCTTTTTTCCTCTCAATCAATTTGACAATATCGGGACCCATAACATCCGGTTTATCTATCCAAGGCCAATACCGCTCACTTATTGGTTGGTTCAATTGATGTCTTATATTCATTGACAAACATATCTTTTCAATACCAATGGAGAACATACCTCTCCAATCGCCACTCTTAATAACACAAATAGCTATAATATGTAGACATGGTAAACTAGTCATCTCAAACAACCTACACGTATATTGTTTTTTCTCCACATACATTATATATTTATTATTGTAATTGTATATGTCAATAGCCTCATACTTATCATCACTATCATGTAACATCCTAAATTTTCAACTAAGGTCTTTGTATTTTTCTACCTTTTTTCAAATCCTAAGCCAAAAATTTCCTTTAAACCTAACAATAAGCATTCTCCTAGTAACTATTTTTTTTATTACAAGCTATCTAATATCCTCTAATAGTGTGACAATACTCTTGTATCTTGTTTTTAAAATAAAACAATTCTAAGTTTCATAAATATTGTTGTCCACTACATTAGATTTAACATGAGTTTCATAGTATGACTTATACCATTTTAGGAGACACTCTTTCATCAAGTCTTGTAATGCTACCTTCCTATACTTCCCTATCTCGCTCAAGATTCTCTTCCAAATTTAATACTATGCTTGATTTGACATATATTCAAAACTATTTCTCAATATCTTCTTTACTATATGCCTTCCTCTATTTTGTAAATATGTTTCTAAGCA